CGAAATGAGTCATATGCCGCCTGGCTGGGAGCACAGGCTCAATCTCCAGGAGCTGACAGCATCAGCTTTCCCATGTCATCGTCTTCCCTATGTGGTCCCGAGTCTCCGGATGTGCACAGAGAGCTAAGCAGAGGGTAGGGTCACGAACAGCTCGCAGGCAGGCACGGCGGGGTGCAGAGAGCTGGGCCCCAGTAGGCAGGTCCGATCTCCATTCAGCACGGCCGACTCCCGTGGCCCTGGATGAAGCTGCACCTCACTGAACTTCCAGCTCCGAGCTGGGAAGTGGGTTAAGGACTTCTGCCGCATAGGGTTGTGGCGGGACAGGTGCGAGCCCCAGGCAGGCAGGAGATAACGTGCCATCTCCTTGAGAAGGAGGCACGGACCGTTCTTGGATTTCATCTGAACTGGGCTGAGAGGAAGAGGAGGACCCTCACCCTTGCAAACATGGAGTCCTGTATGTTGGTAGGGTGGCCCAGGGTAGGCGTAAGGTGGACAGGAAGTACTGCCCCAGCCACATGTGGGTGCTCGCTTCTGGGGACCTCACTCTTTGCACCTGAGAAAGGAAGAGGGACAACGCCAAGGAGTTAGCTGGCCAGAGTTACCAGCCGCCTTCTCAGAGCAATATTAGCGATGGAAGCATTAGCAGTAATAACAGTGTCAAGAGAACAGATCGAGTTTCTGTATTCTGTTTTAAACATGTTTCTGCTGGCGATTTATAGTTTATTTGTGTCCTTATTGATTGAAGGAGGAAACGAAGTGATTTTTTCCTAACTCCAAGAGGATCAACAGTTCTTATATTGGTTGATTTCATTATAACAAGATCAATACAGTCTGTGTTAGTGGATTACATATTTTAAAGCTCAATTTCCTATAAGCAGCATCCAGTGAATAATAGAATTTTCTTAAACATGTAAACAGGCGAGATAGTCTCAAGGTTAAAGGTTACATAGCAACTAACTGTGTGGTTCACGGGGCGTCGCCAGGAGAGGCCCGATAAACAACCAGCTCCGTTTATGAAAGGTTCGGGGAGGAACAGCTCCGGCACGCAAGGCCGCTCACTGCTGGCGAGGCTGCGGTGCCTGTTCAAGACCGTTTCCGATAAACGGTTTCCAGCCTTTATCCACATCTCCTTAGCGAGACACACAGGCCAGCCCCCTGCATTATGTTCTCATGGCCTCGCAACAAAAACTCGCAAGACACCCATCTCTCAAGGTTTCTGCTGCTCAGAGCCTACCTCCCTCTGCTTCAGCTTTTAGTGTAACCAAGGATGAATTCAGTCATTCCGGTTCAATTTTTTTCAAGCTACAATAGCTCCCTTTTGTAGTTTGCTGTCTGCCTTGCCTTGTGGAATGCTTTGTGTACCTACTGCATGTGCCCTCGACAGCCTTGTGTTCCTGAGGGCATGAGTGTGTGCGACCCCGTCGCGTGGGGGCATGCCCGGGGCCCCTCCACTGGAAGTGGCAGAGCTGGGGTGAGACCGAGTCCCTGGGATGCTCAGTTCCTCTGCTGACCGCCTCCCGCTGCCGGGAACAGGCCGGCGAGGCAGCTGGAAGCCTGGTTTCCGAGCCTCGTTTTGTCCGAGGCTGCCTCACCAAACAGATTCCCCCTTCATCTTTCCCACTGGGTATGTGGAAGCGTCTTTAACAATTGAAAAACCTTTTAGTTTTGAATTTTTTTTTTTTAACAAAGAAATGTAGTAAAGGCTTAGTTGTTATACGGTAAGTGGAAGTCGGGAAAATATATAAACTCTAGCTTGTTTTCTAACTGGAAAATGTTAGTTCTTAAAAGACATGGACGTTCTCAATCCCTTTAGAGGGTTGAGGAAGAATAACATACTCAGAAGTACTTTTTTTTTTTTTAACCACAAAAAGCTCAATCATCATCTTTTAGCAACTCAGCTCTCACTTTCCCTCCCGTCTCCTCCCCATTGTTGGCAAGACTGTGTCACTGCACTTTTTGAAAACCTAGGCGGGTTCACTGCCATTTTGAAACAAGCATATGTTCCGTGCTGCGCTCCAAGAAAGAGGGAGACACTTTTCTCCAGGCAGACGAGCTTGTTTTTCCTTTTGGACTCGGGATTGGCAGTGAATCCCAATCCAGCAAGAAGTCGGCAGTAGGCACCGTCGTCTGCACCAGGAGAAAAAAGACTCAGCCTGCAGGGGCTTCTTGGTGGTGTTCAGGCTGCCCTGCATCTGAGAGCTCCTGTTCCACCCAGGGGCCTGGCCTCAGTCCCAGTGGGGTCCCCCGGCCGCTTGGTTGGAGTCAGTTCTTCAGGCCTGTGCTGCACCTGAGAGGCCCAACCCGGATGCTCAGTGGTGCTGCCCCCAGTCCCGGATGGATGGGGGAGTGGAGATCATAGGGAGATGCCCGTCTGCTTCTCTTCCCCATGATGGGGACTTGCTAACTGAGGACATCATGGTTGGGTCCTGACTACCCTCTTGGGTTCCAGACGGGCTTCGGGAAAGAAAAAGGATCAGCTCGAAGAAGACCAGGTTTCCAACCAGGTCAGTTGCTGCTTCCCTGTTGACCTAAAGACAGGGACGGAGCACTCGGCCACCCCAAGTCTGCTCATCTCCCCGTGTCTTTCCAGAATCCTTCAATGTTAGAAGGCTGGGCTACAAAAACATCAGTGCCATTTAAAGTCACTCCATGCTGGCGAATCCCTTCCCAGCCTTTGCCCACGTCAGTCCTACTTTAGTCCTCTTGTAATTCAGAAACAGGTGCCGGGCATTGTCCATCGCCCACAGAGCGCTGTTTCTGATTCCAGTGTCACTCATGCCAGGCAGGGCGCTGTGTCCGCCTCCGCCGCCCCTCGGGTGGGGCAGCTGGGCTGCTGTTTGCGGTCCCTCCCCGTTACGGGTGGCAGGACGCAACGTGGCCAGCTCCCGTGGCACTGCTGACCCAGGAGGGCCATGATCACCTTTGCGTGTTGCATTTTGTTGCAGAATAGTCAAGGGGCTTGTTAGGCTTAAGGAGGTACAGTCTTCATTTGTAAAAGGTCAAGTGTTCCCAAAATTTTCTCTGATGACAAGCGGCTGCCAATTGTCAGCCTCTGGAAGAAATTAGGAAAAAGTCAACACACTTAGTCATTCATTAGCAAAGTAAGAGGGGAACTGCTTTCGAGAAAGTTTATTCTGCAGAAAGAACGTTAGGAAAACAGATGTTTTTGATTGTTCCCATCGCTCTGTCATTTTCATTGCCAAACTTGATGTGAAGTGTCACCTATTAAAAACTCTAATATCTGCACCCTTAACTCAGGAACAGCATTTTTCTAATCAGCTTTAACATATTTGCAATGGAAATTTCGGTGGATTTTGAATGGGGTTGTTAAGTTGCAGAAGCCAGCGTTTGACACCGGCGGAGGGGGCTTTTTGAGCTAAACGTTTGCATTTCTGCTCGCAGTGCTGGGTGGAAGCGGGCCGGGCCAAGGGTGAGCACTCTCTCCGGTCCCCGAACCTCCGGAAGGGGCTCTGTGGCTCTGACAGACGTCAGGGAATAAGCAGAGGCTGTAACCAGGCTACTTTTAAATCACTGACTGACAAAAAAGTTCCCTGCATTTGAAAAAAAAACAAACTCGGAAGTCTAGTCAATCCTGTCATTCTTACTGAAAACATTAGGACTTATTAATGACTTCAAAGCAGTTTGTTGATCCTCTTAGTAAATGGCATGTTGATATATTTTAAAATACTGGTTATTTTCTCCTTGTCTCATCCTTTAACATATTCTATTTTTGGTATTTGTTGTAATGTTCAGAGCACATTGGAATGTAGCACATTGCATCACTAATGAATAACCATGCAGAGATTGGCCGTGGAAGCTCCTGGCTTCTCACCCATGGGGCATGCTGTCACACGGTCCCGAGACCCATCCAGGTCAGGGTACCGGTCAGTGGCTCTCGTGTCCTTTCCTGGTGATTTGATGGAACATTCCACTAGGTGTATGGGGTCCTGAACACGCAGCAGTAAGTGCTTTCTGGAAGAGGAAGTGACACAGGAGAGGTTGGTGTTCTTGGCCACCAGCTTCTTGTGCCCCTAACTGCCCGCTGCCTCAAGCCAGTGGGGGACTTTCCATGGGCCTGTGGCAGTGAGGCGTGATCCCTGTGGGTCTGGGGAGCCCTTGTTGGGGGAGCCCTTCTCTACAGGAAGCCACCTGGTTGGCGTGATGTGCAGTGGGTGCCATACCTGGTGTGGTGTCCTGAGCCTGGGGACATGCACAGAGGCAGCCCTCAGACTCTCTGTGTTAGAACCGCTCCCACGCCAGCCCGGTTTCTCACTGCTCTTTTGGGGGGTTGAATTGGACACATGAGAACTACAGCCATTGCTCTGGTTCACGGTGCCACTGTGAAGACGGAGGAGCGCTGGCCTGGAGCCCCCCAGACCAGCTCGGGGCACACGGACACTTGCACAAGGCATTAAGTGCTTGACGACCGTCTGATGGCAGATACATAAGGACCAGGACGGACTTGAGTCCTGTGGAACCAGTGGTACTCTGAGGGTCCACACCCCCTGCACATCGGGAGTCTGGGCCAGTGTGGTGTCACACTCTCCTTTGTCACCAGAGTCTCCTGCTATCCCCACTCTGGGCTCGGTACCAAACCCTTCGTGGTGGGGGATTGTAAAGTTGTGATTGGAAGAGGGCCGGTCCTATAGAGAATCACTCTGGAGCCCCCTGGTTTCCCTCAGACCTGCAGACCCAGGTGAAGACCCCGCTGTGTGAGCTGTGCAGCGTGGCCATGCCACTCAGCCTCCCACACACAGAAGGCGGCATTCACGGATCCAGCCACTAGTGTGGCCTCGGGGAAGGGGTCCCGCTACTCAGGGCCTGGTGGCAGAGAGTGAGGCCAGAGTTGCTGCTGCTGTTGTGTTCCCAGAAAGTCTTCCCTGGCCGCCTTGGGCCCAGGTGGGCAGTGCTGGCCTGTAGTTCCATCCCAAGTGGTGACTTAATCTTAAAGATACTTATTTTATGATCTGAGTATTTTTTCTCTTCTCTTTTTTGTGTAGGAACCCAGGTATTCAGTGGTCAGAGTAACTTCAGAGTCACTACCTTGAAATTTCACCCGAAAGACCACAACCTTTTTGTGTGCGGGGGCTTCAGTCCTGAGGTCAAAGCCTGGGATGTGAGGGCCGGCAAGGTAAGCCCATGTTCTTCTCCTGGCCTTTCCTCAGGGAGCCCGCCGTGACGATGTTAACGGCTGGGGGCAGGTCCACACCTCCATCTAGGATGCTTCACGTGGACTAAGTACCACTGATTTTTAATCACTGCTAAGCATAATTTTAAATGTTTTGAAGAACAATTTTGAGTTGTTGGACTATTAAAACATCATTAGTGCAATGTACAGCATAGTACCAACAATATTTATTGAACAGCTACTATGTGCAAATGCTTCCAGGTAATGTAAAATGAATGAGCCTCAAGGGAATTATGTATGGATATGGATAACTGATGCGGATAAGTGTGTGTGTGTGTGTGTGTGTGTGTGTGTGTGTGTGTGTGTGTGAGAGAGAGAGAGAGAGAGAGAGAGAGAGAGAGAGAGAGAGAGAGAATGGGGCGAGAGAGGGAGGAAGGCAGGGAGGGGCCAGCATTCAAGAGGCAAGGAGTGCTTTCAGCTTGCTGTGAGGAAGGCTATTTCGAGGAGACTGTGTTCCTTTTGGAGCTTAAAGGCTGCTCACCGTCAGCCCCACAGGGAAGTGATCTCCACTCCCACCCTGCACACAGCCTGCTGCTCCTGGCGCCTTCACCAACCTAATACATGACAACCCTATCCCTTCTAGTCCCTCCGGCCAGAACCATCAGAACCACCCAGTCTCTGCTCTTTCTGTACCCCTAAACCCAACCTGCCAGGAGATCTGGTCAGTGAGTCTGGATTAAGCTGCTATTGCCTCCCACTGGCATAATTGTAGAGGCTTTCTATCTGGTGTCTCTTCCCTCCATGCCCCATGCAGTTTGTTCTCAGTAACTGGAGGCCGGAGCGGTCTGTTACAGAGTATGTCCATCTGGTCAGAGCCCTCAGGCTCAGGTGTTACTCACAGTGAAAGCCAATGTCCCTGCTGTGGCTCACTAGGCCTGCATGATCTTCTTCATCCCCACTAGCCTCCTTGCCTTTCCTAGAACACACCAGCACATTTCTGCCTCAGGGCCTTGGCACTTGCTGCTCCTTTTGCCTGGAATGTTTTCCTCCTACTGTTCTACTGGAAGCTCATGCCTTCTCTCCTGCGGGGTTCTACTCAAATGCCACCTCTCCAGGGAGGCCATCCTTGACCACCATGCCAGCTGCTCCCTGGCATTCAGTAGTCTCCTTTGTACTTACTATAACCTGGTTTTACATGTTCATTTATTTGCCTGTCTCCTTTCATCTATATCTATAATATCTATAATAATAAAAGTGTGTAATATGCTAATTAGACTGGACAGCCAAATGACCTTCCGGATGTCATTCTGGATATCCTTCCGGATGAAACCGTAGCAGCGGGGGCTGAGCCAGAGACAGTTAGAAGTGATCAGGCGGGCAGGCAAGCAGGGGCGATCAGGCAGGCAGGCAAGTGGTTAGGATTGATGAGGCAGGCAGGCAGAGTGATTAGGGGTGTTAGGCAGGCAGACAGGCAGGCCAGCAGTTAGGAGCCAGCGATCCTGGATTGCGAGAGGGATGTCCGACTGCCAGTTTAGGCCTGATCCCGGATTCGGGCCTAACCTGGCAGTCAGATATCCCTCAAGGGATCCCAGATTGTGAGAGGTTGCAGGCCAGGCTGAGGGACACCACCCCCCTACCCTGTGCATGAATTTTGTGCACTGGGCCTCTAGTCTCTATATATAAAAGCCTAAGCTACCATTTGATTGTTGACCATTAGCTATAATGTGCACTGACTTCCAGGAGGTAGATGCTCCAACTGGTAGGTTAGCTTGCTGCTGGGGTCTGGCTGATCGGGACTGTGTGAGATGGGCTGGACATGCCCTGGAGCCTTCCTGAGGTCCCTCCCCACCCAGCCAACTTCCCTTGGTTCTTCCCTGGCCTCGATTGTGCACTGGTGGGGTCCCAGATTGCGAGAGGGCGCAGGCCAGGCCGAGGGACCTCACCGGTACACCAATCTGTGCATTGGGCCTCTAGTATAAATATAAAAGTCTAAGTGTCCATCGACTGGTAGCTATGATGCATACTGATCACCAGGGGGCAGACGCTCAATGCAGGAGCTGCCATGATGTGGACTGGCCATTTAAAATAAATGGCACCATGGACCTAGTGCTGACAAATCAACACTCGACTTATTCCAAGTGAGACACAGGCCCCACCATTACCCTGGAGTGACACCCCACCAAATCATATCTAATGCTGCCAAGACACCATGGTGCAAAATGCAGCCCACAGTTCAGTGCAGCCTGGAAATGGTCGTTGTGGGTGCTGGGTAATAACGTCACATAGCAACATCCAGCTTCCTCTCCCTAGCTACTACCCTCCTTGGAGTTTCTTCTGCCCAGGAACATGACTTGCTTTATAGCCAGGTGTAAACATTTTACACTTTAACAAAATGTTTGTGATGTGCCTCATCTCATTTGATCCTCACAGAAAGTCCTGGAGTAGGTGGATAGGAGACTTGGTAGAATCCTATTTCCTTTTCATTTGCTGGAAAATGGAGATTTAGAAAGTTTAGAAACTTGACCCAACTGAAAAGAAGTAAGAAATGGGGGAACTTGAAAATGACTTCAGGTTTTCTCACTATGCAGAATATAATCAAACACTGTTGCAGTTAAATATTTTATCTTTGTTCTCCCTATGTGATCTACAATAATAATCTACTTCATGTTGATATTTACTGCGGGGTGGCTGACAATTACCTGAAAGAGAAGTTGGGGTGCTTCACTGGGCTGGAAAAAAGGTTAGCTACATCAGAAAGCAGGTCTAATTAAGCAAGTTTACCGTATTTTCTGGCGTATAAGACGACCCTCTAATTTTACAGTTAAAATATAGGTTTAGGCCTATATTCTTTGTATAAGACTACCCCCCACTTCCGAGGCAACATCAGTTCTTTTTTTAATTAAATTTTTAATGAATGACATTTTTGAACATACCGTATATACCGTACATTGATACCGTACATCATTTCAAAAGTCGTCTTATACGCCGGAAAATATGGTATTCTATCTATCTATCTATCTATCTATCTATCTATATATATAAAAGGCTAAGTTGACTCTCGCATGTATGATACACATAAAGCTTTCACTGGCACAATCGCATGCATGTGTTTCAATCTGTCGTCTATCATGAGTTTGGTTGACACTTCTATTATAAAGAAAGGGTGAATAGTGATATTAAAATATTTCTTCTAATTAATTTCCTTTCAATGTGCATGAATCCGTTCACTGGGACACCAGTTAGAACATAAAATTCTCCAAGGCTAGGAGTTTTGTCTGTTTCGTTTGTTGCTGACTTCTAGTTTCTAGAACAGTGCCTGGGATATAGTAGGTATGCAACAAATCTTCGTTGCCTGATTGAGTTAATGAGGGAAGAAGGCAGTCATGCCGAGCATACAGTACAGGAGGTGGTAATATGAAACATGGGCTGGGACTAGTGACGAGCTTACCTTGACTGGGCATGAGCTCCGGACAGTGGGACAGGCCTAGGAAGAGGCTGTCAGTGCTATGGGTCTTGGTTTGAATTAGCAGAGGGGAGCTGTGGGAGACTTGTGAGGAGGGTGCTGGGATCAGGGCTGAGGAGGATTCATGGAGGGATGAGGAAGAGCAGGGACTGACTGGGGGGTTTGACACAGTCAGGAGGGTTTGTATTCAGGGTCTGAGAAGTACTGCCCCGGTCTGAAGAAGTCACAGCCCCTAGGGTTGAACTTGACTTTGAAAGAAGAAAGTGCAGAATGTTAGTGTCCCAGCCTGAAGGGCTCCAGCCTGCTTCACCTACACCCGAAGGTCCCACCTGAAGGCTGCCCGGACAGGTGCAACCCCAAGCAGGGTGCGTTAGCAGAGGCCCATGCAGGTGGCCAGGGTGGAGGGAGGTGAGATAGTGCCCCCAGGGCCAGGCACCTGAAGGCATCTTGCTTAAAGGACTTCACAGCGGAGAGTTAGCGCACAGACAGATGTACTCTTTCTTTTTTTATTTTTTCATTTTTTATTGTTGACAGTATTTAAAAAATATATATTTTATTGATTTTTCACAGAGAGGAAAGGAGAGGGATAGAGAGCTAGAAACATCGATGAGAGAGAAACATCAATCAGCTGCCTCTTGCACACCCCCTACTGGGGATGTGCCCACAACCAAGGTACATGCCCTTGACTGGAATCGAACCTGGGACCTTTCAATCTGCAGGCTGACACTTTATCCACTGAGCCAAACCGGTTTTGGCTATTGTTGACAATATTACAAAGGCCCCCCCCTTTTCCCCCATTGCCCTTCGCCCCCAATTCCCACCTCACCCAGGCCTTCATTGCACTATTGTATGTGTCTACAGGGCTATGCATGTATGCATGTAAGTTCTTTAAGCTAATCTCTCTCCCCTACCCCCCTTGTCTCTGAGATCTGTCAGTCTCTTCCATGCATCCATGTCTCTGCATCTCTTTTGTTCATCAGCTTATTTTGTTCATTAGATTCCACATATACATGAGATTATGTGATATTTGTCCTTCTCTGACTGGCTTATTTCACTTAGCATAATACCCTCCAGGTCAATCCATGCTGCTGCAAAGGGTAAGAGATTCTGCTTTTATACTGCTGCATAGTATTCCATGATATAAATGTACCACAGCATTTTTATTCACTCACCTGCTGATGGGGACTTGGCTGTTTCCAGATCTTCAATGTAAATTGTGCTGCTATGAACGTAGGGGTGCATTTAGTATTTCTAATTGAGTTTTGGGACTCTTAGGATATATCCCCAGAAGTGGGATTGCTGGGACAAACTGGTTCCTTATTTAATTTTTTGGGCAACTCCATACTGTTTTCCACAGTGACTGCCCCAGCCTGCAGTCCCACCAGCATCAGATGTACTCTTTCAGATAAAAAATGTCATGCAGTGCCCCTCTGCCTGCTCAGCAGCTTCCTCCTGAGGCGGGAGCGCTTAGCCCACTGCTGACTGGGCGCCGGATGCAGCCCCACTGCTCAGGCTACCCAGGAGGTAGGAACCACCACCA